CATACGAACAGGTTTATTAACCCTTGCAGGAACATTCTCCAGACAGCAGACTAGTTTTCCGAGGTCGTTATCATCCCCAATGCTTCCACTTCATGTGTCAGGGGATAAACAACTTACCAGGGTAGATAGTTGGCCTCAGAGAAGCCCTGGCATGGAGGTAGTTTTGGATTGGAGTTGTAGGCTGACACTGCCAGGCATTTAAAAGTGGAAGTATTTTTCAGAATTAAAACGCTGCCACAGCAGGCATATGTTGTTAACTTTGCTTTAGATTCTGCAATAGATTTTAAATTGCTGGCATATTTCTTTACAGCCATCTGGGAGAAAAGAGTGAAAACTTCCTGAGAAAGTGACGCTTTAGGGTTGTTTTTCAGGCACCAAAGAAATAACAATCACAATTTTTTTGGGATTATTAACGGGTTCTTCAGAAGAAATTCACAGCTTTGTTTAGTAAATATGTGTGAATGTTACACATTTCTTTCACTGAAGTAATTATTGCTCAGTTTCACAGCGTAGGCGCCATGTAGGAACACTTTGGCCGACGATGCTAACATGGGAGCAGTGAGTTGCCATTCAGCCTCTATGACTGCGTGGCTCTTAGCTCTCCAAAGAGAAAAAGGCGTTCAAAGACAGACACATGCATCAATGAAGAAGGTGCCGGGTATCATTACGAGACGTTAAAACATGAGAGAAACGGAGCGTGAATGCAAAAGGATGTGATGACAGTGCCAGGAAAGCTTTTCATCCATCAAAAACTAGCCGGTTTTTTTTTTTTATAACTCCCGAATTCCCTCAGGGCTTCTCGCTCCTGTTTCAGACGAGAGGCGGTGGGAGTCGAAGGATTTGCCCGCTCTCGTCTCCGTGTTTGCAAGGCCGACTGCACCCGGGGAGTGGGAGCAGTAAATCAAGTTGAGGGAAAGCTGGCAGCCAGAGCAGGAGAAGATATCTGGGCATATCTTCAAAAGGGTGCCAGAGGAAGAACATTAGATAACTAAATAGTCCACCAGGAACGAGAGAACGTGGTGAAAGTGGAGTTTCAGTTTTATTTTTTTCCCCACACTGAGCTGCTGAATGGGATTCTCTCTGAGTTTTGGATCCAGAAGAGCTCTGCAAAAAACACAAAATCTTACCAAGTATTTTTGGTCTAGTTGCTCGTTCCCTTGAAACAAGACAAAACTAACTTGCAAGTAACTTTTCAGCAAGATAGAGGTGATTTTTTTAAAGAGAAAAATTCCTTAACAATGGTTAAAAAAAAAAATGCTACTTTCACTGGGAGATTCTTTCACTTTTCACAAGACATTTTCCCACGCTTTAAGTGAAACGATCCAAATTTTTAGTGGGCGATTACAAGATTCCTAAAAATACTACAACAATGAAGTATTTTCTCCTCAGGTTACATTCAGACACCAACTAACATGAAGAAATTATGTGTTCTGATCCTGTTACCATTTAGCAGCTGGGAATATGAACGTTTGTATTTGTGTTGCACAGTAAATTTTGCTCTTTCCCCCCCGGTTGGTACCCAGACTGCGGAAACTGACACCGGGTGGGCTCAATTATAATATCAGGTTAGATGTTATTTCTGTTGATTATCTGCTTTTGAAGAACCGACCTTCCCCTCCGAGTTCACTTCCTCTCCTCCTCCCGGATGAAACGTTTCTCTTTGATATCCGACTCGCCTCCGAGGTTAATGAATGAGCGGCCTGGTGCCCTGCTTAACGTTTACCCTGGCTCTTCGGGGCGCTGACGCACACACGCACGCACGCTCGGGGTGGCCGTAAGAGAAAGTTCCTATTATTTTTTTATTTTTTATTTTTCTAGCATTTTTCATTTCAATTACTGAAAACTGAATACTAACAAACAGAAATCAAAACGTGGAATTTTTGTTCCTACGGATTATAAAGCGTGTGGTTTCTTTTTTTTCCCTTTTTTTTAAACGACTCGCTGACTTCCAAAGCTAACTAATCTAAAATCATTCACTTAAAAAAAATAAAAATAAATAAATAGCTGCTTAATTTTAATTGGAATCGAGGCAGAAATGTACTTGTCTCCACGTTTGAATGTTTTAATGGCGGCTTCGTTGCCTTACCGTGCGATTTTTCTTGAGTCGTCTCTTGTTCCGACCACAGTCACACGCTGTGCTTTCAGGGTCAGATGGACGACTGAAAATGTGCGAAAAAGCAGTCGGACTTTGAGGAGGGGTTGTGAAAGATGGTCATAAAAGCAACAGCAACTGTTGATCGAAACCACTTTAAAAGAGCTGAAAAAAGTCTGGCTCACTGGAAGCAAAATATAAAGAAATAATGGGTAGTTTAAAACGCAAAGTGACCCCTTTTCTTGTTGCGTTGAAGCCTGGAGTCAATAAGTTTATTGGCTTCTGTTTATTCTCCTGCTCTGTGAGAAATAACCACAGCCTTTCAGTGTAGTTCCTTTGGTCACAGATCAAACGGTTCGAGCCATTTTGTTGCCACTTTGGCTTTGCGCGCTGATGTTCTGTCATGCAGAGGAAAACATGACCACGGACAAATTGCGTCTGGATTTTTGGGGACAAGTTGTTCCTTTTCATTTTCCCCTTTATTCATGGTGGAGTTCTCAGACGAAATTGTGAATAAGCCCACTTTTTTTTTTTTTTTTTTAGACGAGCAGGAACCTCGGGGGGGACGGATTGGACATGGATGCTTTACAGATGACACCCGCCTCGTTTTCTCCAGACGCGGTGATACGATTTTCCTCGCTCTTCCTGCAGATTTAAGGCGATCCTTGAAGGTTTCCTTCGTCGTCGGGTCACTTCCTGCTGAACTTCTTGTCACAAGGAAGCCAAAGATCTGCATTAGCATGTTCTGGTGCTTTCTGGACTTCCTGTCATTCTCACTCTCACCTTTTTAATGATCCATAAAACCTTTTTTTTTTTTTTAAACATTTTAATGTAAAGTGATGATGGCTGGATTGCTAACACAAGTGCATCTGTTCCTCTTTTTCCTCTTTGGCAATAAATCTGATAGTTGGATCGATGAACCGTTTCCAGCTGGACTCTGCTGAAGTGAAGTTAGCTTTTCATTTTGGGCAAAGCTGCATAATGCATGCTATCACCTCCAGCGATCTAAAATCAGTGACACTTCACCTCAAAAAACTCAAGTTGCAAAGACATTTAGATTTCATGTTTGTGCTTCCGCCAATTCCTTTGGCTACGCCTGCAGATCTGCAGCTTCTGCTCAGATTTGCATGAGCAAATAATATCTGATCCAGTGGGTTTGGCACCAAAACAGCTGACTTGTTTCCTCAAGAAAATGTATTTCATGTTTCTGTTTTGTTCTTAAATCCCATTAATATCCTTTGCGTATTGTTTGATCTCGAGAAGCTGATTGTGTTTTCTCTCTCTCTGCTCATCACTAAAAGGATTATGAGAACTTTTCGAAGTTGGGTTATGTTCACCTCACCCGGACCTCAAGAAAGCCTTGAGCAAAGACATCTGGTCAGCCAGGCTGGTTTCAGAACGGCTCCACTGACAAACATTAGCTGGATTTCTCCTAATGTTTTGCATGCTTGACTTCAATTTGCTCTATCTGGTTTCTGGTTGTTGCAACATTTTTTCCCCTTTCAGCATCCGTAGCAGAGAAGACAAACATTGCTGCTACGTTACCGATGTCTTCAGGGTTATTCATTACTTATTCAAAAATTCAGTAGTCGATTTGAGTTTGATTTGGACAACCCCCGATGCCCCCAAAAACATTTCCCTTCATTGTTGTTTTGTTTCCCTTGGTGCATGCTTTTGAGATTGTCGAGTCCCATTTGGGGAAAACTTGTATTTCGCTTCTGTCGCTGTATTTTACTACTTTCTCACAAGTATAGGGTGAATTTTCCCATCATTCCTCGCTGATTTGCAGACCTCACATGCAGCCTTGTTCACTGTGATTTGTTATATGTGGACTGGTGTAAAACATTTTCTTTATTAATCACCAGAAACACTTTAGATAAAAGCGCTACATGCGGTCCCACAGCATTTGGTCGCCCTAATGCTCCAACACGTCACAGTTTGTCAACCGAGGCTTTTGCCCATATTCTGCTCGCTTACATGTTGTTGGAGAAACATCAGTGGTCTAATTCACTGCAGTTAGGAAGTAATGATTGTAAAGTTTTAGGCCAGATTTTTAAAGTCTTATTTAAAAGACAGTTTTGTGATTCATTCCTATGAAAAGCTGGGGGTCGGGTTTTGCAACAGTTGCTAAACAACACTATAGTTTTTTTTTTCTTTTTTTTTTTGCTCTGCGATGTTAAATCTACCATGCGAGGAGCAGAAAGTCTCTGTTTTGTGCTGCCCCTGAGGCACACAGCTGGCCCGCTTCGCTGCAGGTTGTTTATGAGCGGCGGAGAGCAGCTCAGGGCTCCTGCACCGTCGGTTTGTGCATCGTTGAGAATGAGGGGCCTGCTGCGCCGCAAATGGTCCCTATCCGAGATCCGACCCTCCGCCCATCCCTGAAGACGGGGATTTCTGTGATACTCCTTGCCGTGTGGTTGTCATCAGAAAAGTGGGGACAACGAAGAGGATCCACCAAATGCACTCGACGTTTTTAATTAATTGATTTATTTAAATTTACACACGAAAGAAAAGAGCTTCATCGGTGTGGTGCAAGTCACATAAAAAAAATGTTTCCACTTCCATTAACCAGTAGGAACGTCCTGATATAACTTTTTTTTTTTTAAATTTCCGATACGATTCTGATATCGCAGCTTCGAGCATTTGCCGATACCGATACTGGCCCAATGCAATATCGCCATGAATCAAAAACACTTTTATTACTTATTTTGTAGTGCGGATTGTGAGAAAAGGCTTGATCAACAACAATATAGATAATATAAATATTTTTGTCATGCCATATTTACCTGGAGGGTATATTTCAGTGTTTATCCAACATTTTACTTTTTCTGTAATTAATAGAAATGAATAAGACGGCAGTATTTTTGCATTGACGTAAATGACTTTTGAGACGGTCTTTGTGTTCCAGGTTGCTGTGTGGGCGGGTGACGGGGACGCCGTCTTCATCAGGGAATACACTCTGATCCGGAGAGATCACCTTTCAGAAGAGCCCCTCCCCGCTGGCGGACAGAAGCCAGAGGACCCAGTAAGCTCACCATTAACTTTTAATTTTCTACAAATAATCAGTTAATCAATCAGATGCTATCATAAATGATTACTTTATGGCTTAAAGTGATCATTTAAAGCAGCTCATAAATCTGTTGCAATGTGTTTTATGTAACTCTCCGCACCAAAAGAGCGAGGGGGAGGCAATATTTATGTAACACCTCTGTAATGAGAGCCAGTGAACGATGATTGTGAGGCTCTGACTTGATGCGAAGCAGAGCATCCTGGGTAGTTACAGACGTTACTCCCTCCTCATGTTTGCCTTGATGAGACGCGAATCGTTTTCTTAAGCTGTGATGTTTCATTTAGTCGTTCGCTGTAGCTACGCATGTGAACGTCGCTGGAGGTTCAACTTACTGTCCATTTGTGACGTCTGCAGAGGAGAGTGGAAAGTCCCGTCTCAGCATCTTTCACCCTCTGTAGTTTTTTTTTTTATTATTAAATTATATTTCACTTCATAGTAAAAACATTCTAAATGCTGTTTCCAAATAGTTTTTTTTTTATTTTTATTTTTTATGAGTTTTCAAAATGAAACACCACAAGGTTCCTTTGTTGTCTTGAACGGATCATTGACCAGATATAAAAGTATGTAAACATCACACAAGAGTGTGGGAAAATATTTTTATTTCTTGATTATCCTGTCCAGATTTTGTATCCTTCCTTCTTGTGTACTTCTTGTTTTATTTTTTTTGTTTCTATCCTTTCTTCCTTGTACACTTTGTTCCTTTCCCTCCTTCCTTCGTTGCGCCCTTTGTTTTCTTCCTCCTTGTTTCCTTCTTCTCCTTCCTTGTCATTGTGTCGTATTTATATTCCTTCATTCCCTGAATACTTTGTGTGATTCCGTTTGATTTTTCTGTTGTTGTTTTTTTTTTTTATTGTTTCTTCCTTGCTCATCTCCTTTCTTCCTTGTGCTCTTACTGCTTGTGCAGGTGTTGCTGTTTCCAAAACTGCATTTTCTTACCGACATTTTTGACATGCTCAACAAAAATAGTCAGTGAATAAGTGAACACCGGAACCGCAAACTGCCGTGAGTCCGCTGTACTCTGCAGAATTTGGAGAGTACAGCGTGTTAATTTTGGAAATTAACACAGATTAAATACAGTCCTTTCTACCATTACCCCCCCAACATCTTTTACAGTCGGTTTTCTTTGCTCAAATCTAAATGCATTTTGATCCGGTTCTCGGTGAATTCAGCTCAGTACTTTGTGTCGTCTACACGCGAACAGGTCCGAGAACATCTCTCCGTAAAAGCTCAGTTGTTTTCCTTGGTTCCGTAAGTCGCTATAATGGTTGAAATCACAGAGAAGAGCCAGGATATTATGGGTTTTTGCAGCTAAGTGGCTGCTAATGACAGCTATTAGAGTCACTCTGCAGTAATGAGTAGCGGCCCAGCGTGAGGACACGTCTTTGCTCGGCCTGCCTCTGCACGTTTCATAGACCGGAGGTTACATCATCTTGTGCAACGATTTTGTTTTGACACCTTTTCTCCCTCTTATCTTTTCATAAGACTCTGGATGATGTGTTCATCCAGAATCCATCGCCCGACTGTAAGTCAAGAAACCCAGTTTCACCGTCTTTACACGCCTAATTGCACATCAGGCAGTAACTGTCAGGGTGTTTTTAGTTGTTTTTTTTTTTTCCACTTTGCTTTTATTTTTTTTTGGTAGGATTCAGGATGAACAAAAGCTGCTGCTGGAATAGAGTCAGGACTGGGATTAATGGAGGTCATGGTGGTGAGAAGAGGGAGCACTTAGTGGCCATGGCACCAGCAGCAGCAGCAGGGTCTAAGTTACTCCGCTGCAAACTGACTTGGCAGCTGTGTTTTGCAACAACAGGTGAAAGGGCATCGACTTCACACAATTAAACACAGAATTTATCATCTTTAAAATGCCATGTATGTTAGCTGCTGCAAAGCTGGGATTATTTGGGCTGCAGTGGGTTTTTCAACACATACTCTTGTCATCTAAAAGGGATTTCTGGGCATGCATTTTTTTCATAACACTGAACAAGTGTGCAGGGCTTTTGCAAGATTAACAAATTTACTTCTGGAATATGACCATGATGTTGCAGATTTCTTCCCCCCCCCCCAAAAAAAAAGCATGCATAAGCATATGCACCTGTGACGTAATTGTTTGGAAAAATAGATCGATTGATTTGCTCTGCCTAATAAGGTATTTACCCTCTTGGATATTTTTACCTTTTTTTCTGTGTTTACAAATCAGTTGTGATGAACAAAATTTGTCTTTTCTTGACAGAAAATTTTACAAAGAAAACTTTAAAGTCAAAGTGAAAATGGGGATTTCTACAAATAAAAATCTGTCATGTGACTGACCTAAGACTACAGACGGCGACGTCATAACCTTTATTATTGCCTTGCATCAGGTGAAAAACATAAACAAACAAAAAAAAACACAATTTCTTGACATAAGCAGTCAAAACAGAAATGAAAAAATAAGGGAAAACATCAGATGCTCGGCTCCCTTTGGAACGTCGTGATACTGGAAACCAGCTGATGCCGATTAGGTTAAGTGAGACCGTTGAAGGTATAATGGAATCACAAGTGGTGTCTTTTTGGCTTTTTAACTTCTGCATGTTTTTGTGTTTTGGTTTGAGTCCAAACTGGTTTAACTGTGTCTTTGGGAGGTTAAGATTTTTAATTGAATTTTTTTTTTTCTTTTTACTGAGAGACGATACCTTCGCTTTTTGAAAGAACTAAAAAGGAATGCATTGAATTGGGAGAATTTGCCTCCTAGGCTTGCTTATTTTGGTTCTCAGACTCATGTTTGATCCATATGAAAACAGCATGGAGGTGCAGGCATTAAAAAAAAGTGCTGAGCACTGGTGAATGTGGTGCAAAGCCATGTGGCTTTGGATTGGGGGATCATTCTCTCACCCCCGTGTTTGTTCCAGCAGCATATGTGTTCAGTAAATCTTTGGCCCGCACCGTGGCACCGCGAATATCTCCCACTGCTTGATGTGGTTTCACAGCAGTGCACTGTGGGTACTGGAGCGCTGCTGCTGAGGTAAAGTAGACGGGGACGGGACCTCACCACAGCACCCACATTACAAACACGAGTGTGCGTAAACCATTCCGCTGGCCGCGTGTTTGTTACTGGCTACCACTTTGTGCATATTTGCAGGAGAGCTGCATCTCATGTTATCCCAGATTTGTTTCTGTTTGCTTGCTGACATCTGCATATATCGCGTCATGTTATTCAGAAGTGCATGTGTTAGTGATTTCGGGGCCTTTAGCGTTCAACGGTCCCACATGCCACCAAATCTGTGACTTTGATTAAAGGGGAAACTTTCATTCTTCGTCGTTTTTCCTCCTCATCTTCTGCTATATCTGTTCCTCGTTGGCATGTGAAGGCATGCAAACAGTTTCTGGGTGAGTGATTGATTTCTGATTGCTTACATTTCTGGCGCTCCTCTGCGTCTGGCATGTACTCATTCACAGGCGCAAACAGACAGAGGATGGTCGAGAGTCAGAAAGCATTTGCTTTGCGTTTTGGCAACGGACCAACTAATTGGTTTTTGGTGGGGGTGTTTGTTCCCTTCAGCCCCCCCCCTTTTTTTTTTTTTTTTTGTTATTTTCTGGCTCAGTATGTGTGGCTGGGCATGTCATGGAGATCATTCAAGGCACTTGTTATGAGTGTGGGTTCAATCTGGCTGAATTAGGGCTTTGTAAGCAAAATTAAATTTCACCGCAGTTTTCAAAACAAAGCTATTGCAGCAAATTTATAACATTTCAATCTGACAAGTTCTTATTTTGGATATGCAACATACTGCTCCTCTTTGTCTTTTGCAGCTTGAAACATTTTCCGCCAGCTTCCAAATAAATGTCATGGAAATTTTGTTTTCCGCTTGCGTGGGGTGAGATAAAAATCTACAGCGAGGTGCTTTCTGCCTTTGATAACTCATGTAGTTCTCAAATGTTAGCTTTTGCGTAAATCCACAGAGTTCACTCTGTTCAGACAGCCAGGAGCAAGTAGTCAGTCTGCAAGTGTTAATCTCTATTACTGCATTAATTACCTGCTGCTGACAGATCCCTACCACCCATACAGAGCAGAGTTGAGGTGAAGCACTGGAGAAGCTCCAGTAAAATTTGGTATTTTCTACTCAATGTGGGCTCAGGTTATTCTGCCTTCTGGACACGTACAGCGCTGGAGGAGAACATGCGTTTCTGTTGCCTCACCAAGACTGAACAGCTGTAACCAGTGTGAGTGTTGGGCAATATTCATTTTATATACTGTTAGCCCTTCTTCACAAAACATTTTGATCTAATTTATTGTTGTATATAGTCAAAAAAAGGCTTATCGAACAATATAATTTGAGGCATTTTTAAATGTTTTATTCATTTCTCCACTCTCATTTCTTAAATTGATATATAAAATTTCCTCTGAATGTTAAGTATATTGGTTCTTCTATGGACACAGCAGAGTGGAAACTTTCCAGATGAAAGCTGCTTTCATTCTACCCCACACCTATCCCTTCTTCTTTTCACCCTTTTCTCTTTGTACTTCTCTTCTTTTTTATGTTCTACAACTCTTCCTCAAATTCCTTCCTTCCTTCCTTGTTTCCTACTTTTCATCTCTCCTTGTATCCTTCCTTTTTTTCCTCCATTCCCACGCCACAGTGGTGCAGTAATTCATGCAAAGTCAACTTTTTTTGTGTGGCACATTTCAGCAGCAAAGCAGTTCAAGGTGCTTTACATGATAAAAATATAACGCAATAAAGCAAAACAAACATTACATTACAGTGGCAGAATAACGAGAAGTAATGAAAAGTTGTAATCCAGACCAGAATTAATCAATGTTTCAGTTATTATTAATCAAAGGCAGCTCTAAACAAGTGGGTTTTTAGCCTTGTGATAGTTTCTCCCGGACGAGCCCCCATTTGTCACGCCTGGCTCAAAGGTGATGACAAAAATGGGAGACAGATGAGCGGATCTATATAAATAATAATTTGTTTATGTAAAAA